ATCACTCAGATACAACATTCAAAGCACGATAAACGCACAAGTAAGCCTTGCAGTCTTTCTTTTAGCGAAGGAATTCAGTTCATTGCATCATGTCTGCTGTCTTTAGAATTCTTAAGAGGAACATAAACTCTCAAAAATGTTATCTCATAAGTTTCTGAAAAATTTAAACATGCTGATAATTGACTCACTATCAGGTCATACAGGAGATATAGGTGACCTTTCTCTCAGTAGAACATTCAAGAAGATTTTTAGTTGAAATTGTGATCCTTGGTAATTCATAAACTTAAAAGTCATAAGCTCAAAAAACATATAGAGGCGAAAAAAATAATACCTGATGAAACATTAATGACTTATTAAAGGAAATATTCAGTCTGTTCAAGAAACTGGACCTTCTCAAGATTTAAAATTTAGATTTACACAAAAAAAGTAAGATTACGAAGTTGATAAGGTATTATTGTGTGTCAACAAGTTTGTGCTGTTGTGAAAGCGCACACGATTGTTTATTAAGCTGTGAATTAAAGGTATTATTTCAGTAAATAATGTTTCTTAGACACAATATAGGTATGTTTTTCCCCATTTGGTGTGCAGTATCAAATTATATTAAAACGACAATTTTCCAGCAGTTCATACTTGCAGCCAATATCTCGTTGGGCATGGAGGGCATGCATGAAATGTTCCTGAATGAAAGCTGTCAAGCTGCAGTTTAGGTCGACAAGATAAAAATGAAACACCCAAAATTACATGAAAATCTGAAGGAAACGTGGATAGCGTGGTGACACAATGACATTAATCGATGTGCTGTAACAAATAATGCAGGATCATGAAAGGAACATTCAAAAAGCAACTTACGTAAACACCTTAATCATATTATTGTCTTATTCAGATTAAGGCAAATAATTCAATTACTGATGTCCATGTAAACGTAGTTTCCTTTCGTTAGAACTCAGTGTATCACAAGGAAATACGATACGGGTTTTAAACATCCTCATATCAAACCAAATGCCTTCAGTGGTTCAAAAGAAATATTATCAAGCTGTTAGAATACTTTTGTGTTCTCATAAAGCAAAAATACTGACTTTATTTAACAGTTTCTTCTTCTGAGTGTCAGTATTGGTCATATTATGCAATGTGACAGCATAAGTTCTTTTTGTTTTAGGACTTTCGATTAATTTGCCTATAGGGGTAATCACTAGGAATAACAAACTGCAATAAACAGTCAACCTACTTGTCTATAAACAATAACAAAATAAGAAAAGAATAGTCTGCAACATCAAGCAACATGACAAGCTTTTTTATGGCTGTAAACCAAAGGTAAGCAAAAAGGCCAAAAACCAAATATCATTGAGAGCCAGGGCCGAAAGTTGAAGTTGTAATTTAAAATTTCCTAATTTATTTAATAATGTTTGGAAATCAAAAACATTATTTTAAATTGTATTAATTACTGCAGTATACATTTTAATTACAACTTATTACAATAAAAAACATAAACAATTTATTCACCAAGTGGAGTTCAATGCTGCATACACTAGTCAAGCAGAATCTGCCTTTGCCTTCATTTGCTCACTGATGTCTATGCATTGTCCTCCATTGGGGTGTACGTACATTAAAAAATATTCACAACGTTTCAATTCAGTTAGTCTTTTGTAGCTTAGCAAGAAAACAAACAATCAAACTAAAAGGTTACATTTAATTAGAATTAGTTTCTAAACTATACTCATAATTCTCCCTCTCATCTCAGATGGGATTTGGGGCCAAATTAAAGGTTACAATGGGACAACTTTGTCCCGTGGGCCCTAGTTTGGGCATCTCTGCTATAAACCAATAAAAGTGAATAAGACCACAAGTCTCAAGCCAATAAAGTTCCGGTGGCTGTGCCCTCTCTTGACTCAAAAAAATAAGGTCAGTATAGGGAGCATGTTTATGATCACTGCGAAGTGACATACACTACCCCCTCACCCAACACAATTCGCAAATTCCTCTGTTTAAAACAAAACCGAGTTAATGTGTCAGCAGCCTCACGTGAAACTTTGCCGTGTACTGACACTGAGGAGAAGAATGTGTTGGAAAAAGAAGCTACTTTTGTTTTATGTGCACAAAAATTATTCTCATTGCTTGATAATATTTCTCTCTGGTCAGTTTTGAGGATGTGTTTATGAGATCCCTTGAAAGATTTATGATTTAGGAGATTTGTGGTCTCCATGGCCGCCAGTGGAGGATGAGAGAGCTCTCTGATTTCCCCTAAAATATCTTAAGTTATGTTCTTAAAACAAACTTCCAAACTTTCAGGCCTTTGAAATGACGAGGCTGAGTATTTACAGTTTTTCTCAGTGGCTTTGGTGGATTTCTCACAAAACTATTTACATTTGCACAACAGTTAATGCTTTGTTCAAAAGAAATTAGTACAAACTGCAAAACCTAGTTGATAACCTGTTAAAGTGTGTCACTTTCTTAAAATGGATCGCTCATTCCTCAAAAACAAGTATTGATGTCAATGAAAATGTCAGTGTCATCAAGATGAAAAGTCCTGACACCATTGTTTATGAACAAGCTAGTCAAATGGCTTTGTCGTGTTTTCATTATGACAGTTTACTTTCTACATTTTTTTAATGCAAAAAAAGTGTGATTTTGGTGACACTTGCTGAAAATGCAAGTTTATACTATTTGCACAGCCATTTGAAAACTACAGTAAAGTTAGACATCACTGCATTTAGTGAGGTATCTGAGTACAAGACACTGAATATGTATGTTTCACATTTTTACTGCAGATGCTCTTTGCAATTCTAATTTATTTACAGCATTGTGCAAAATAATAAATACACCCATATTTACAACAAACATAACCTTCCTTTGGGTAGAGCTGTGCACAACTGTAAACAATATTGCAATATTTATCAGAACTGAACCTACAACACACACAGGTCTGTAAATCATCCATGAAATTGTTCAATTTAGAAGGAATTTTCAGGAAAATTTTTAAACATTTTTATAATATTTACATTTGACAGATTTTGACACATACAGTAGTTCAACATTTTTGTATGTAATGACTCAAGTAGTGAAATAAGGACCATTCGTTTTATTTACCATGACTATTCAGCATTCACACGTTTAGTTCATTTTGACTGACATGACAAGCAAATGATTATGTTATAAACAGCAGAGAGCTGTATGAACGCATGTCCAAAAGCATTTGCAATTTGCTGGAAGTAATGAGAAACTGCTACTATGATGTACACAAATGACTAATTGTTTTGAGAAATGCATGCACTGTTGTGCAAATGTAAATAATGTAGTGTTGTGACAAATGCACCAAATCGACTGAGAAAAACTGTAATAACTGAATTGTTGTTTTGGGGAAACACGGTGGCACAGTGGTTAGCACTTTCGCCTCACAGCAAGAAGGTTGCTGGTTCGAGTCCCTGCTGAGTCAGTTGGCCTGTCATTGTGGAGTTTGCATGTTCTCACTGTGTTCACATGGGTTTTCTCTGGGTGCTCCGGTTTAACCCACAGTCCAAAGACATGCGGTACACGTGAAATTGAATAAGCTAAGTGAAGTTTATTCATAAACTAATATCGAGAGGAGCACGTGATTATGATTGAACACGGCTGGTTCTGCATTAGCATGCATGATCCACCAATCAGGTCATTCCTAACCCACTATAAAGAGCCAGGGTTTTTTCACTACAGTCATCTTCGATTTGAAGAATCCCCCCTTCCACCCCTACCTTTTCACCTTTCCCTCCATAGGGCAGCACGGTGGCCCAGTGACTAGCACTGTCGCCTCACAGCAAGAACGTCACCGGTTCTAGTCCTTCAACAGGCCGGTGGTCGTTTCTGTGTGTAGTTTGCATGTTCTACCCGTGCTTGCGTGGGTTTTCCCCGGGTCCTCCGGTTTCCTCCCACATTCCAAAAACATGCACAACAAGTAAATTGATAAATCTAAATTTGCAATATAGGTAATCTTATATTATCTTATCTTATATTATATTATTATATATAATCTTATATCAGCATATCTTTTAATAGCATTCAATTTTTAGTCATCAGCTCTTATCAAGGGGGAGTTGTCGAGATCTACCTGAGCTCGAGGCTCCCCTCTCTTCCTCCAAACGGGAGGGAGCCCAGGGCTCAAGAACCTTCGAGCTCAGGGCTCTCTCCCGGGACAGCATGCCAAACTTGCTTATAATCAATCATCAGCTAAGTGTGAACTCTTGAAATTAGCCGTAGTGTATGCAAGTGTGTGCAAGAATGTGTTGGTGTTTCCCAGTGTTGCGTTGCAGCTGGATGGGTTTCCACTGTGTAAAACATATGATGAATAAGTTGGCGGTTCAATCCACTGAAGTGACCCCTGATCAGGCACGTGCACACATAGGGCTCAACCTGTGCAGTGCACATGCCCTTTTTAGTCTTGGATAGAAAGTGCCCTTCCAAAATGATCAAAAGTGCCCCCGCGACACACCCCCTCCCGCCCTTCGTTAGGCAAGCGACAACACCGCTCTCGAGTACGCGCGCGACAACACTGCTCTCGAGTACGCGCGCGACGACACCGCTGATCAGAACATGCGTGCCAACGCCAACCCCAGCCAACCCCAACCCCCCCCCCCCCCCCCCCCTTTGAACAGTCTCTGCACGGGCCTGCCCCTGATGAATAAAGGAACTAGGAATGGATGAATGAATGAAATTGGCCATTATGTTTTTGTCTGAATAAGTGTGTATGGATGTTTCCAAGTCTGAGTTGCAGCTGAAAGCTGAACTAACCTTTTAAACTGATGTTAATCATGAAGCTGATGAACAAATTGGTCAAATAATTCAAACCATAACAACATAATCACACAAGTTTTACATCATCTCACATAGTCAATTATTTGCAGAAATGTTCAAGCCCCTATATAAAAACTGTTTGTGTGTTTTGTATTATAAGTGTCAATCAGAAAACTTGATCCAGATCAAGTTTTGTCAAATCTCAGTGTCAATGAGAATATGTGTCAGAATAGACTTACTGATGGCAGCTGTGCCATTCCCAGGTGTAGCGAGGCCTACTGGGAAGAAAGTCTGAGGTCCCTTGGTTCTTGACTCGCTGTGGAAACCTCAGCAACATACGCATGTCGTAGTCTCTCACGCTGGACCTGTATGCAGAGCTGCGCAACAAAAACAGTCCAACGGTTACAAAATATCAGACATTCCTTGAGTTTCTCATTTTGTCATAACAACTTTCAGAAAGTGTATCTTGGCCCGGTGGCCACATTCAGGCGCACATGGAACAAGTACAGATGCACGTTTCCAAAGCACTCCATTTACTGGACTAGACATTTCTTCTGCGCCCCAGTAATGTGTTTCGCAGTCATGCATGTGATCATTTTTCCATGTAAACAGCTTTATGCGAAACCTATTTGTAGAGTTTCTCACTTCCAATCGTGACTGGACTTTAGTTTAATTCTTTTCCCTGTCTCAGAGCTGGTTTGAGTTATGGGGTGTTCCTACCGCATGGGTTTTAAATTGGTCGCATGACTCATCCGTTACTCTTGGAGGAATACTTTCTTTCTCTAGTTGCAACCACGCATCAGAAATCTTGATTACATTCCTTCTACCTTGCCAAGCAGTTTTCCTCAGCGGCACATCTGAGGTTGTACATCGGGACTCGCTGCACGTAGGTGGATGCTTGGATGTAGTATGGGTCTCCCACAAGATCAGGCAAACCTACGAAACACTGCAATGGTTTATTAAAAGATAAAAGAATATGCACAGATCTTTATGAAATGTCTAAAGCCCATATGACACAGACCACCCTGACCAGCAAACCAACTTAACCTGCTTTTTCTTCTGTGGAACAATGTCATTATTTCAAGCTAACACTTTCAATTAAATTAAAAAACACGCAATTATGCAGATGAAATTCAAGAGTTAGATCAAATGGCGTCATGCACTTTTTTTTAGAGCAACACCAGTAATTTTGCTGCCTCACTTGGTATCAAAACACATTTTAGTTTTTAATGTAAAGTGGTAGTTTTCAATTAGCCAATCATTATGAATGTTGTAGCTTGATTTGACAGAAATTGGACAATAAAATTGTTGATTTAGCAAAATGTTTTTGAACCACAATAATTTTGTCTGAACTTTCAAATTTTTAAAATATTTTTGTTACCTGGAAAGGTGCAATTTTTTTCTCTTTTAATCAAACATTCTTAATCCACAATAATTATGCAAATTAAGTTAAACAGTTATAATCAATTTATCAATTAAATTGAAGTTTTAGACATTATAACTAAGTAGGCCTATTTTTAGATAGACAGACACACTCAAAAATTACTTTTACAGCATGTTCAAACTACTCAGTCTTATGGTTGGGGGGGATAGATAGATAGATAGATAGATAGATAGATAGATAGATAGATAGATAGATAGATAGATAGATAGATAGATAGATAGATAGATAGATAGATAGATAGATAGATAGATAGATAGATAGATAGATAGATAGATAGATAGATAGATAGATAGATAGATAGATAGATAGTTAGATAGATAGATAGATAGATAGATAGATAGATAGATAGATAGATAGATAGATAGATAGATAGATAGATAGATAGATAGATAGATAGATAGATAGATAGATTTTTACCATTTTGGAAGTATCCAGTGCCATATCCCGGGCGTTGTGCGGGACGAGGTCTCTCATACGTGTCGTAATAATTATAATATGGGTTGTCCGGGTCAGTAGACTTGTAGGGGTTGTAAGGATCATCACCAACCATCACTTCATCATCGCCCGCGGGTCTGTCGGTGCCGTTGATTGACCGCAGCGGGTCTGTGTGGTTTCTGCGCCCGTGAACTCCTCTGGTGCGCGCTCCGTCACCTGACAGCCAGCGCGACGCGCCTCCGCGCGCACCGGTACCTGACGGCACGCGCACAGACCCGCGGCTCTGGGAGGCTCGTGAAGGCGCTGAGCTGTCGGTTCTCGTTGCTGCATCATCATTGCGGACGATGGCTACCGGTCTGGCTTGCGCCTGCTCTTTGTTTCCGTCTCGTTTTAACGGCGGCTGATATTCCGAACCTTGACTTAATATACTAAAGAGTTTGCCATTGTGCTGCCATTGTATGGTTTGTCTGAGAGCTGCTGCTCCAGTGTTGCCCTGGCGCTGAGTTTGACCAGTTTGTGCTATGCAACTTAATAAACACACGTGCGCAAATGCGTAAATGAAGGTGTCAATTAAACTCATACTCATTTTAAGCTAAATTGGCTTGTCCAGTTCTTCTACTTGCCGACGTTCCAGTTACTGAATTGGGGGAACAAAAAAAAACTGGGCTAAGTTGCGCTCTTTCATAAAGCTTGTTTAAAATAAACAATTAATTTAAATAAAGTGAGACTTACATAACGGAAAGGTGAGATCTCAGTGCGACCTCCTATTGCTCTGCACTTGGACTAACTGATGCACAAGGGGAAGAGGGAGGAGGAGCTGATTTTTAAAGTTTCTTGTTATACAAGCTCCGGTAACGGAAAAAAAATGCCCGTTCTAGTGAAGCTGTAAAACGTGAGATTTGGCTTGTTCAAAAGCAAGACGAAAACATGCAAAGAGTTCAAAATGGGAATTATAAATGGGTTATTTAGCCTACATCAATGAAAAAAAAACATTTATTGACTTTGTCCACACTGCAGTAGATTCAGAGGCACATTAATGATGAAGCAAATAAATTTAATCAGTAAAATGGTGTTTAAAAGAAAATGTAAAGAAAACATTTTTTTAAGTGACTAACAATCAAGTAAAACGTGCTTGAATGCATTGCTGAGTGCTTGAATGTAATTATATGATAAAAGGTCTAAGCGTGCAGTTATTTTCAGTGAGATGCGAACATAAGTATAGCTCCAGGCAAGTTTAACTGCATTACAGTTATACCACTGAGCTGAATTGTTAAAATTATTATTATTTAGATCCTTACAGCCAAGTACAGCAAGAATCAAAACTAAGATATTTAGCTGGTAGAAATTTCATTACAGGTTCATTCTTAAAAATAATAGTTCTGAAAAAGGTGACATTACAAAAATCCCATAGCACAACAGTTTATGGCTCCCTATTTGTTGTAGCTTTGTTTGCACTCAACGAACCTTTTCACAGTTACTAGAACCATTTCAATGCCCACATAGCAAAATTTCTCTGGCCCAGCTCTGGCCCACACAATCAGGTTTTGCTTGGCCCACATGCCGCAGTGAATTACGGTACATGACTGGACCAAATCTTGCTTCCAGACAAGGGCCAAACACAGACCATATCTGGGCCAAGTCTCAGCCAAGTTAATAACTCATAACTGGGCCTGAACTGGGCCAGATAGGTTGGTGTGTCACGATTGCAATGAAATTGATAAACCCATGGAGTGATGCGCTTTAGGCACACTATGGGCACACTTTTTCTCAAAGTGACCTGATTGGTAGAATTTTTTTTCTTTACTCAAAAATGATTTTAGTGTATTTTAAATGTGGGTCAAGACTGGCCAAACTCACATGGCCCACTTATCAAATTTTTAAATCTGGGCCAAATGCTACGTTTTTCATCTGGCCCAAATCTTGTGTGCCGCCTTAAAGACGGTGCCACCTATGCCAAACCCGGGCCATGTTTGGCCCACATGCTGTATGCCAGTGCCGGATGAATGCCTGCTGTGCCAGCTTTATGCCAAATCTGGGCCAGAATTCTTTGCTACTAGGGTGTTTATTTTGGAATGCCTTTTTAGGAGAACTAAATTAGCTTACTTCAGAAAAGAGCATATCCAACACAACAGAAATACAGTGATGCAAGTAACACTGATTTGGTGGACACATTATTATAGTGCAGTATTTCGCATGACTGATGTCACCGTCAGTCAGCTTATGTCTCTTCTGAGTTTCAAAGAGCTGATCATAAAAATATTACTATGAACATTTTTCTAGTAGACAATTCATGGCATGATGCAGCTTGGTTCGCTTTTGGAATGTTCCATTGTGTGGAAACCTGGAACTTGGTACCTGTTTCCAAAGTAAGCTATACCTTTACTAAAATGTGACATGTGAACCCTGCAGATCACTGATTGGCCAGAGAGAATCAACTCTATTGGTAGTCCACACATCTTTAGTTGGTCTGTAGAAGACCTAAAATACACAAACATGTGGTAAAGTAGGACACAAAAGGAAATAAACACAGGTTAATGAGCACAATCCTGCCTCTGCACAAAAGGGTTCTTATACAAAAGTGCTCCTAAAAGTCATCGTAAGTAATAGTATTATAAACAGGTGGCAGAGTGCAGCAGGAGATTATATCACAGCAAATGAGGCGACAACTATGGCTGTATCTGAAATTGTCCCTATAGCCTTGTGCTCTATAAAGTAAATCTGGTAACACTTTACAATAACAGTACATGAATAATGATGTATTAATATGTAAACTAAACATTACTTTATTATGAATTAATGATGAGTTAAGTTATGCACTAATTATGAATTAACTTTACTACAACATGATTCATATGAGTTCGTGTGTGAATAATGGCTACCTTAATTACTTGTTAGTTCATGATTGTTTGTTAATTAATGTATTAAGTACCACATTAGTTTATGCTTAATTTAACCATGATGAACTCATGATATGTTAATGTATAATTATGTTGTGACTTTACTTGGAGGGGCACATCATCATTAACCAATTCTTAACTACTCATGGATTTCTTATCCATGTCCAACTAGTGAGTTTACACTGAATAACAATACAAAAGTGTTCTGTCAACATCAACATGAAGAGGAGTTCATAAGTAGTTAAGGATGAGTTAATAGTGATGTGCCCCTCCAAGTAAAGTCATGACATAACTATACATTAACAGCTCATGAGTTCATGTTGGTTACATTTAGCCTAAACTTAAATGTTAATTAATACATTAATTAACAACATGTACTAACAAGTAATTAAGGTAGTCGTTATTCACACATGAACTCATGTGACTCATGTTGTACTTAAAGTTAATTCATAATTGAATTGTGCATACCTTAACTCATCATTAATTCATAATAAATTAATGTTTAGTTTACATATTAATACATCATTATTCATGTACTGTTATTGTAAAGTGTTACCGTAAATCTTGGTATGCAAGAACGATGGTACGAAAGAGATCAGTATGAAGCAGCACTAAATTACAGAAAAAATACAGCTGCAACAGATTTTTCTTTGTGTTGCCTTTGGAACTAGGCTACTTCACAAGCCATCGGTTCAAATGCACGCAAGAACACAAAATGCAGGATATACATATAAGCATTTATTCAGCTACACTGAATGTGTATATTAGCAACACAATATTTATTTATATATTTTGTGTTTACAGTGAAATTTGTCACATGTGTTTGTGATGAATGAAAAATCAGCATGTAAACCTATTTCTGGCTATTTTTTAAACTTAACTAAGGCACATACCTACTATGTAAGTATGTAAGTAACAATTTAGCTAATCCAGCTGAATTCGGAAGTTCATGCTCCAAAAAAAGTTCAAATTCTTATCACAAGATGACATTCACTACGGAATACTATCGATGTAAGTTTCTAGATAGATGATATTTTAATTGTTAAATGAACAGAACACAAGCAGTGGTGCAGTAGGTAGTGCTGTCGCCTCACAGCAAGAAGGTTGCTGGGTTGAGCCCCGGCTCAGTTGGCGTTTCTGTGTGGAGTTTGCATGTTCTCCCTATATTCGCGTGGGTTTCCTCTAGGTGCTCCGGTTTCCCCCACAGTCCAAAGACATGCGGTTCAAGTGAATTGGGTAGGCTAAATTGTCCGTAGTGTATGAGTGTGTGTGAATGAGTGTGTGTTGATGTTTCATAGAGATGGGTTGCAGCTGGAAGGGCATCCGCTGTGTAAAAACTTGCTGAATAAGTTGGCGGTTCATTCTGCTGTGGCGACCCCGGATAAATAAAGGGACTAAGATGACAAGAAAACGAATGAATGAGTTACACAGGGAATTTAATGCTTAATCTCACTTACTCACATTCACTCCTTCAGGTGGACTATTTTAGTGAGCTAATTGTAGGGAATGAGGGTAAAGGGGGGATTTTGGATACATCCTATATAAATAGAAAAGCACCATTCATTCTCGGGGAGCTGGGTCTGGTGACTAGTTCCTTGAAGTAAACATTTTAATAAAGCATTTTAATAGAATGTAGAACTTTTCCCCACTATAAATAAAAAATAAAAATTAAAAAATTAAAAATATAAAAAATATAAAAATATAAAAATAAATAAATAAATAAATAAAAATCTCCTTTTTATTGCATACTTTCTCTCGCATTTGGTGGTACCGAACACACTTAGATGATGCAGAGACTCAGGTGTGCGCCCAAGTAATTCATATTTTTTTCTCTCTATCTAAAATCCTCTGCATTAATAACATTTGTCTACTAAAAATGGATCAGGTCTCTGTTAAAATGATTTTTGAATGATGCATTTCTTCAATATAAGATTGACTAGTCTGTTAACTTGAACAAAAACCATGTTTGTTAAACCAATTAAAAATGTGATTTATTTAAATATGCTAATTACTTTATTTTTTAGGCCAGTTGATTGCACAATAAACTGATGTTCTGAATATCAGAGGCTTACATTGCACAATTACAAGTTTTTCGAACTATTAATAGCAAAAGATGTCTGATCAAAGACAGATGTGTTTTTTAAGTAAGCCTTTGTCATATTGTGTTGTGACATCCCTCTCAGTCTGACTTTTGGATGAACTTTTACGAGGCACATCAAAAAAACAAAAGCCCTCCTGGCGAAATGTCTCCACATATCAGTGTTCTTGTATGATGACGCTGACAAAGCAAAACAGATTTACACAACATTGCCTGTACAGGAAGTTGTTGCTCATAAAACAAAATCTGTTTTATATTTTCCTCCTATAACTTTTACTAAATCCTTTACAACTTTCTGGTTCTTTTATAAAAAGTGAAAGCAAAGTCATTTGTGGGGCCTTCACAGGTTTACGAGGTGCAGCTTTAAACATCACGTGTGCTTACTTACAGTAGGAGCTCCATGTGTAGTTGGAAACTGCTCTACGTTCATCACATGATGCTCTGTTTATAACATTCAATCATAAACGCACCTGGGCCACCCAGACCTTAACGTAGATGTCTCCTTCCACTCTTTCCTTTAACTCGTCCTCTCATATGACCCAACTGTTGCCTTAAACTTTCCCATGAGCGATGCATCCAATGGCTTGCAAAAGAAGCGTAATTGCTACTTAGAAGAACTTAATCAATGGTCTGCAAATTCTGTGTCTAGCCTCTAAAACCACTCATGCCCAGTGACAAACCACAAGGACCAACTCTGAAGGACTAGCTGGAGAGCCTTCTAAAGGCTTTTTTCATTGAACCAATAGAAAATATACTTTAAATTTCAGGGTTCACTG